ATTATACCCATTTTCGGCAAATTATTCAAATACAAATAAGTCTATAGTATAGGTACACTAGTGTGTTAGACCTAAATTTATTTTGCTGGTTATTAAAATTTAGTGGAATGTCGTATTCATCCCTACCTAGCTCTGCACCATTATCCGATAAAAGTCTACATTCAATAAATTTCTCCAAAATATATTCAAAAGACCTGCTTCGATATTTTTTTCAATCAGTGCAGAGTTGCGACCTGGACGTCTCACGTTCCAAACCGCACACTCCCAATTACAATAGATTAAATGAGTTAGGTATAGAGTACATATCTACTTAACGCTAAATATCCAGTCAATATTGGATACCGTATTATACGGTCTGAATAAATATGAATAGTAACTTTCTTATATAAAAACCTCATCCGAGGCGATATGGAATGTTTAAGTTGAAGGAACATTATTAAAGAGTCAAATAAAGTGTAATAAATACGAATCTGATTGGCGGAATTCGCCTAATCAATATTCTGCTAGTTATAATCATGGGCGGCTGTATACAAAACCACGACTTCACCAGTCGAATTGAAAGTAAGGTAGTCTTACTCCAAGTTTACATCAACGTATAAAACTTACGGCCAGACTCTGAAACGACATTCCTCTTGAATTTAAAAAAAAACTCTCAACAAGTTTGTCTTTCAACAGTAATGTTAGGTCTGTAACATGTTTTTGCCTTTACTTTCTACTTGTATCGCAATAAAATGTGTTTCCAATATGCACAGATACAGTAAAAATATGTTTATGACTAGTCCAATACAGAATTCGCAATGAAATACTTGCAAGTTGTATATAATATGATTGTGTTCAATCGATGCGAGTTGTGGCGCTGTTATTATATAGGGCCATAACGTGTCACAGACTAAGTGTGAACATAAAACGTATATACTTATAGGCAGTGTGTGTGAAAACACAGTAAAAGAACATAGTTTGAAACAATGTCAATACTGGTCTATGATCATGACATCTATAAGTCTTTTACAAGTTTTGTTGAAAACTTTTATCAAAACTTGTATGTGAGTGTAAACGAGGAGTTGGACCTCTACAGTCTTACGCCCACAACTTATGAAAACGCGGGTGAATCGTCTTTCAGTGACATAATAACACCTCAAGTTTAAATAGACATCCTAATCTTATAATGATCGTATCGCTTACAAATTATCGATACAAAAACGCGAAAACTACAACAGTTCATACACAATAATTAAATACAATTCAGACAAGTGTACCGTACAGTACCGTACCGTGTTGCCGGAAATATAACAACACCAAAGCTTCAGTAATACTTTCACCAGGCAATTGTGTAAGCCTTTGCAACAAAGTGCTTAAAAATGTTATTAAGTTAAATTGTTTAGTAAGGGTTATTATACTACTGAAGAGTACATAATTTATAATAACTCTTAGAAATGAGCTGACCGCTACCATACTGTTTCGAAACATTTTCATATTTAATTGCACAAAATTTTACATTGTAAATTATTGTTGAAAAAATAGGCCCGTTGGGTTTCTTGCTAATTAGAAACCAGGTGTAAAGCCATAGATGAATTTTATTAAGTATTCTTATAATCTGTTTTCGAATAAAAATTACTCTATCCTATTCTATATATTATTGCGGGCAACAAACTCGCAGTCCGCAGCGCATTTACCAAATTCTTAGAATATCACACAAAATATTTAATATTAAAGTAGGCCCGCGGAGGACATTACAATAAGTTAATATACCACTTATATACTAACTTGTCAGAACTTACACGTACAATAAACAGAGGAGTCAAAGGACAGCTGCCAGTTTGTACGAATTTATCTGTAAAATCTGTCCCTTCCTGTTAGTATAAAGATTAGAATAAGTTAAAGAAATTGAATATTACAAACTTATCCCGCGGGTGTCATAATGAGCGACAGAGGGAAACGAATTGGGTGCCCGGTAGCAGCATCTTTCATCATCATCATCATCATCGCAGCCTATAAAAGTCCACTGCTGAACATAGGCCACCCCCATAGATTACCTCGTACGGGGCCATTTTGCCATTGTTGGCACGCTTGGCGAGCGGGTTGGCAACCGCAGTTTCTTTTATAATTTTGAGTTATCAGAAAGATGCCGCTGCCCATCACCTGTTTCATACATCCCTCTGTCACCTCTCACGACACACACGGGACGATATGGGCTAGTGGACACTCTTATACCGCCACTACCCGGTTTCATAAAAACTAATAAAAACTACAATTCCCAAACCACCTGCTGAGCGCGGCGAATATGTCAAATATCTCCTCTATGAAGGAGGCCTGTGTTCAGCAGTGGACATTTGATAAGCTGTTATGAACAATAATTAATTGAAATGTAAACTACGAGCTAACAAATTCAGTTCAGTAAATGGTTTATACAGTGATTACATTTTATATACATTAATTAGATTCTATCATTAGAGAGCAGTTTTCCCGTCGATTTTAAATGAGACAAAATGGCCGACGCTGAATAATTGTAGCGACAAAATGGCCGCCACCGAATAATTGTAGCGACAAAATGGCCGACACCGAATAACCGTAGCAATCAATATAACCTACATGTTTTGTTATTTAAGTAGCAATCCGAAATCGCCCTACTCACAAAGCTTACACACTAACAATATCGATTTAAAAGGAATCGGATACTTGGTCGTATCCGAAATCGCCCTACTCACAAAGCTTACACACTAAAAATATCGATTTAAAAGGAATCGGATACTTGGTCGTATCCGAAATCGCCCTACTCAAAAAGCTTACACACTAACAATATCGATTTAAAAGGAATCGGATACTTGGGCTTAAATTAACGGTCTGTAATTAGTTTTAAATTTCAATTAAGAATTTCCGCGGAAAAGATGCAAACTTAAATGTAAAGTATAAAATTTTACAGCAAACGTGAATAGAAGGGACTCTTTTCGTGGCAAAGACTTTTCTCCAAGCCCGAGACTACCAACCAACAACGTGTATCAATACATCAATACCGCATTATACAAAGTAGTATCCACTCATCGCTTAAATCTTACGCTCACTAGATGTCGCTGGTTGGGAATAAGGTTAATTTGTTACGTGGATGGTCACACTATGCCATCGTCATAGAATAAGAAAAGAATAGAATAGGTGCGATTTAATTATAAATTTATAAGTCTTTCGGTTTCTACTGTATGTACAAATGTATATACAAAAAAATGTTTTACCGCTGTATTCTCTATTTTTTTAACAAACATTTAACTTATTTTACGGAATATCATTATTTTGGTTTATCATATAATGAAATATAATTCATATTTTACAAAAAAAAATTATCGCAACACTTATCTAACAAATGAAATTCCCCCGCTATTAAACTGTCAAATATTATATTATTTTACCTTATTCATAAGTGACATAACGAAAGGGGCGTGTAAAAAGACCGTAAGTCACCGTCAAGGATTTAAGTAGAATAAGGAAGGTTTGAAAAAAAAAATGTGAACTAAAATGTAAAATATCTAATTGATAGCAAACTACAAAAGTAGAGAAAAATGTGACGTCACAGATTAGGGACTTATGCGAATTAAACCACAATGTAAATCCGAGAATATCAAGGAACCACGTTTTATGATGAAGCAGATATAGTTATACAACAATAAACAACTTATAAAGGTAGATAACAAACATGAACACAGGTATATTTACATACATACAGGGTTATTTTTCAAAGAGTGGCCAAATTTTAAACTTAAGTTCAAATATATAAATGATACATCGTTACTGCAGTTTTTGAAGTTAATAGTAAATATACTTTCTACTTTTACTTAAAACTATCCCAAATAAGATAAAAATGACAGAATGTTATAGATTTTCATAATTAATTTTTCTTCAACATTTGGCTACATTACTTATTCTGAACCTTCTCTGCAAATTTGGCCGGTTATAGTAAAATAACCCTGTATATGTATATCGTCATACTATGCAATATATCTATATTAATAATCTAATTTTTGGCATAACGTGATGCATTCGATACAATGACCTGATAATGGTGTGTTTGTTAGGCACAATGGTTGCCAACGGCCCGGGGAAATCTTAGCCCGTAGGCGTTGATACATCCGGACCGATTAAAAACAAAAAAAAACAGACAACGCAACTGCATTTTCATACATTTATATATACATACTTTTCGTATTTTATACCTTTATATATACATTCTTTAATGACGCTTCGTGACTGCCTTGTGATAATTACTGAATATATCAAATATACGGTTCCTTAATTAATTAAGTAGTTTTTACACCTACGTTTATTTCACGTCTGTTTTCCAACGTTAACACTAACTTAGCACTTTAATTACTATGCACAATATTAAGTATATAATTAAGCGTGGTTAAATATGACTTAAGTTATACATTTCTAACGTCTATATATTCAATAATTAAAGGTGCATTCGCGGTGATGGGTGTGATCGAGGCTTTTGATTAAAAAAAAAAACATAACACAAAAACAAAAAATAAAATACACAAAAAAACACGCGGTAGAAGTGAAACCTTCATAAAAAGAGACCGAGATAATAGAAGACACTGTATTACAGTATTCTATCTCGTTCTCTCGCAAGGTAAATCCTATAGACGTATATGTTTGTCTCTTTTTAGTGTTTCTTTTTTCGTTTCATCTAATTTCAAATCACAACCATTTCTAAAGAAATCTTCACTTAAAAAACTTATGAAAAGAAAAAAATATTAGAATAAAATTTAAAACTACCTTCACAATAAAAAAAACGATTAAACCAAAAATTTTGTTTGCGTACACGGACTACCAATTCAAATCTACACGCAAAATAATAACCTAAATCTTAGAGGCTTAAACTATGGGGGAGGGGGTTTAAAAGTAATTAATGAAACAAGAAAAGCCGTATGACATTCATATAGACCAGTCACGCCCGATAAACATGTAAAAGTGTGTCTAAAGATAAAGTGACGCAGCATTGCTCGAAGCACTCAGGCGAGGTGCTCCACCCTCCCAGCCGGACACAAAGGAACGGATCGGGGCGGGTCCCCGGAGCCCCCACCAGCAGCGGCAGCATCTCGAACAATCTGCAGTTTCGAATGAATTCGAAACAGCAGACGGGACTCCAGAGAGTAGTTGGAGTAGCGCTTCCTACAAACAATAGCAAAATTGTTATTGATAAAGATTTTATTGCGTTTAATTCAACGCACCTATTGTAATAGGGACTTGAGATGTTTTATGTCCTTATGTCGTTAAGCTACCTTCAGTTATTAAACATTAATTTTTGATGCGATCTACGCAGAATAAGCTAACTGTATGTTGAGGGCTTGCTGTGGTAAGCTTGGGTTTAGACTTAATTTAAATAGTCATGGAATCCCAACGAGATAAAGGCATCCAGACATCTCCATTACATTTAGAATGTTATATAATTGGAATAGTCTTACCAAAGGTGTGTATGCCACACATAATCAATAACAAGTCTCGTAAATTCTCTTTAGCAAGAATCGTACGGCAGCAGGAATCGCGTAAAGCTCGTACGCTAATGTAAATTTACTTAAATTCATGTTATAGTTAACGCGAAAGCTATTTCCACTTTATAATATTAATTTAAGGTGACAGTTATAAGTTAGAAAAACACAAAATGTCCTACAGGTAGATTTTTTTATAGAATAAGTGTAACAAATGAGCATTCAGTCTAACTGATTGTAAGTAGATGCTGTGGTCCACGGATATATCGATCTATCCCCAATAATTAATCAACATGCAGATGCGTTGTCACCCTCGAGGACTAAGATGCAATTTCTCTTTTCTAATACGTAATAATAATTTAATTAAGAAGCTTTGGACATAAAAAAGGTATTATTTATCCAAATATAATTTAAGACTGATAGCAGATGTGCTATTTTACTATGTATATTTTAACTTCTTGTTTCTATTGAGCAGTATAATGACTTATCATTGAATTTGGAATCAGTTCCAAGTAATTTAAATTAGAAAATGAGACAGTAGGGATAATCTCTAGCAATCGTTATAATAATTTAAACTATTCAGAATGCAGGCCTCAAATAGTTAATAGTAGAGTTTCACACATATGCAGGGCATATTGGGCAAAGAATTAGAAAATAAATTGTTTTAAATATTAACAACATACATATTTTTTGTATAACTAAACATTGGTTAAAATATAACTTCAGTAAACAACAGATGGTCAGTTATTTTAACAGAGAAAAAATTACGCGGTGGCTCGTCTATATCACCTAATAAATAATTAATAAGTAAATAACGTAAGAATATTGTGAGCCTGTTGAGGGAATTGTAGAATTGGCATGTAGTGAACTCAAACACTTCATTTTTGTCACTATCTACAGACCCCAGACGTTGTTTGTATGATTGTTTAAAAAAAACTATGGAGGAATATTACTTTCAATGACAATTACATGTAAACAATATTGAATAAAAACAATTATATTATATTCTAATGGAAAGGGTCGACGAATCTCTATATTGGTCGTATGAAACAGCAACATTAAGCTATTCAACGCTGATATCACGGGAGGGCGTGGTCGGATCCATGTTGAGTCAACCCAAGATGAGTTCAATACTATGCAGAATTAAATTTAAGGAACGATATTAAGTCGACGCCAGCTTTTGCGTCTCATCTGAACTTGTGTGAACAGTGCAGAAGTGATAGGGATGTCTCCGTGAGCTCACATGGCCTCTGTCTGTCGTCATGCACATCTCGTGCTGTTGTACATTCAAAACTTAATTTCTGGCAGACTGCCTAAATCAGTTCAGAAGGTATGGAAGAGACTATGGTTAATTCTTCTCTGCATGTAATAATCCACTGCTGTACATAAGCCTCCCCTTCGATTGCCTCAAAGATAACGAAGTTTAAGGAACTGCCTCCGCGTGTATTACCATATGAAATCACAAAAATCAAAATAAAACTTTCAATCTAAAATATGGCGTTCGCTCACCTGGTATCTTGCAGAATCCGTTGAGCTGTATCGACTTCTCCAAGTGCGTGTTGACACATGGCCGCCTCCACCAACGCGTAAGGAACCAGGAAAGTGTCTTCCTTTATCTTTTCCTTTAATCTAAATAAAACAATTCAGATGTTATAGTTAATTTCAAATTGGTACGAAATTATGTCCGGCGATTGCTCGTGAGTCAACTTAATTTACGGCTCCGACAGAATATCAGCGCTGCGGTAACTCCGTTATTCTAGCATTATGCTAAGTCGGTATCCTTTTTTTTTTGTTGCAATCCATTATTTTTTATATTTAGTTGTTTTTTTTACTATGTCGTTTTTCGCTTCATATTTGTGTTGCGAAAATAGTAAGTCGTTATTATTCACTGGTCAAGCCATAGTATAAATTACTGTAAAGCCTAACTAAAAAATTATAAAGCCTAGTTCACAATGACCAGAAGACCTTCATACAAATCGTTCGTGTTCTCTGCTAATCACATAAAATTTTAAAAATGGATAACCTCCCACCTTAATAGTAAGAAAAAGAGTAAATCGATAATTGATAGCGACAAATATTTTACTGAAGACGTGTAAATTACAATGTGTTGAAGTACTTTAAAATGAATGACTTAAATGTAGAGTCACACAGATACATATTAAGCTCAGTTTATAAAATTATTAATGACTTCATATTAGTCTGACATAGTAAACTAATTGATTTTCATCCGTTAAACTTAATCTTGTAATTTTAATGGATAAAAATCAACTCACTCATTTAGCTACAATGTATACAATTTGTAGCTTTCTATCTTTGCGTTACATATGCTTATTGAATTACAAATAACAGGTTGCCACAGCATAATTAAATTCAACAAAATTGAAGAAAAATTACTAAAATGAAAGTAAAAGGAAAGAAAAGGAAAAGAATATACATATACATATACATGTACATGTACATATACATATACATTTACATATACATATACATATAACAACAGACGTGAATTAACCCATCTGAATAATTATTATTCTTTTTTATTTATGGTGTTATTAAAAATGTCGAGATCTGTGTTAGCAGTTGATTTTATATTTTAATAAACACGTGTCAAGCGGGAAACTGTCGAGTTTTTCCAAGATTAATTGTTTGAATCTTTGCTCCACTATAAATACACCTTTGTTCAATATTTTCTTAACGTGTATGATCTACGGTTACATTTTTATGTTAAAGTAACTATAAAAATAAAGTGCTTATGAGAAAGTTAAATATAATCTTAAATAGTAGACGCTCTATTTCTATCTAACTTCCTCTTTATATATTTATCTTTTTGTTGTCTTGAGATGTTATCTAAATGCTGCGTCTTGAGATGTTATCTAAAGTCAGACGCGACAACATCCTAAAGGCAACCAGACAACAACTCCTAAGACAGAATTTTTCAATCTCTCTCTTTATTTTCTTCTCTCCCTTCTCTATCCGTTTTTCTTACCTAGCGACGTGATCCAAATGGTGCAAAGCCAGTCGCGGAACCCCAAGGGCAGCCAGGCAACATCCCCTAAGGTAGGCTAGCAAAGCCCTATTGTCTCCATCCAGGCTGCTGGGCCACTGATGCTGTTCCCGGTCGAGACGCTCGCTAGTCGCTTCGATTTGCTGCACATAAACGAGCATCTGGTTAGTGAGGTTCTAGAAAAAGTTTCTGAAGAAAACCATTGTTAGGTACTGACGGTTAATCCTGAACAATACCTTGAGCAGGCAATGTACGGTGCGCGAGTCGCTTGATAGGGCGGACAGCATATTCCAAATACAGAGCAACTCGACAGCTGGTAGGAGCAGACGACCGCCTTGAGCTTCGAAACGGGCACAACGACGAATCACCCACTTCTCCATGGGCAGGGATTTTCCAGCGATTCTTTGACGATACAAAGGAGCAGCTCTGAAAAACGACACCGGTTAAGGGAATTAAAACATCTTCCTGTAGTAGAGAGAAGCGACTTGAAAACAAATATTTTTTACGTGTTAGAGTCACGTTGCAGCTATATTGTGGTTGTAACACGAATGGGTCGGCTCGACCGGGGTCGATCCACGCTCTCACAGAATACCAGCGTAGAATAGCAGCTTAATACTGCTGTGTTTCGTATGGTGAGTGTAGAGAGCCAGAGAGCCTTTTTTACTGGAAACGAGGCATTACATCTCAGTTCTCAGGGGTGACAACACATTTGAATTTTGATTCTTAATTGATGATAAATATAGATATTTATTGGTCACAGTATCCATTTACCAGGTAAACTGTGTACGGGTTCTATAAAATAAGACGAATTAATACTAACAACTATGTACTCGTTCTATAAAATAAGACGAATTAATATAGAACTGTCTTGGAGTTGGAAAATTTGTTGGACGAGAGAGTTGATAAATATTATGAAAACGTCTCACAATAGCGACTGTCGCTTAAGACCGAATACGAAGAGAACTGGCGAAATTTAATGTATTTCTCTTCACTAACTTTGACCTGAAGTAATTCTAAGCGTTAAAACATTTTGTGTAGGTTTGTTCGGTTCCTTCACAAGGTGCCCGGTGTTTTAAAATTTTAAAATAAATGAATATACCAACAAATAAAAAAAATGTTAAGAAATGATATTTAAAAATGATTGTTCTTTCCAAAACTCTGTGAATTTTAATTTAGGAAAAATTCTTTTACGTAAAAATTTTTGTATTGTGTTTCCGAAGGTGCCTGCCGTCTTTATTTTCGATACAAAATATTATTTATTAACATAATTCGCTTTAATTAAAAACATCTAATAATAATATCGTATATTGCCAGATAAAAGTTTGCCGTAATAAATTACCAGGCGCTTCGACGTGTGACGTAAGGTGACAACAGTCATTGTGTCTGTAGCGAAAATCGTTAATTTAGTGTTTTATACGCGTTTAAGTGACTATAAATGCGAATATGGGTAGGAAAAGAAATAAATGTTACCTAAGTGGTAAAACAAAGAGTTTATCGCATGAACGCTCCTCGAATGTTGTATTTTGAGGTTACTTATATTTTTGTAAAGTAATTTTTTGTTTGAGGCTGCCTAATAGGGTGCATTTTTACTCATTTACATTAGCCAAATTGATCATTTATACTTTTCTAGTTTCAAGTGAGAAACACTAAAAATGTAAATATCAAGACGGAGTTGGAAAAGAATGTACAGAGTAGTGCAATCACAGAGACCGCAAATAATGTCATAGTCAATCATCATCATCATTACAGGCCTTCACAAGTCCACTGCTGAACATAGGCCTTCCCCAAGTAATGCCACAAAGCACGGTCCTGAGCCACCTGCATCCATCGACTTCCTGCATGTCTTACCAGGTCGTCACTCCATCTAGTGGGGGTCGCCCTATACTACGCCTACCGGTACGAGGCTGCCACTCGAGAACCTTTCTTCCCCATCGGTTATCGGTTCTTCGAGCTATATGGCCGACCCATTGCCACTTCAGCTTACTAATCCGTTGGGCTATGTCGGTCACTCTGGTTTTACTGCGGATATCTATATTTCTGAGTCTATCACGCAGTGAAACTCCGAGCATAGCCCTCTCCATAGCTCGCTGAGCGACCTTGAGCGTCCTCATACGGCCAGCAGTGAAAGACCACGTCTCAGATCCGTAAGTCATCACTGGCAACACGCACTGGTTATACACTTTAGTTTTCAGAGATTGAGGTATACCTGACGAGAAGATGTGTCGTAATTTCCCGAACGCTGCCCAGCCGAGTTGAATCCGTCGATTGACCTCTCGGTCGAAGTTGGACTTACCTAGTCGGACTATTTGTCCCAGGTAAACGTACTCGTCAACAACTTCGAGCATAGTGCTCCCAACAACTACCGGCATAGGTGTGACATGGACATTAAACATGACCTTTGTTTTGTCCATTCTCTTAAGACCTATCCGTTGGGAGACACCATTGAGGTCATTGAGCATAGTACTAAGGTCCTCCAGCGATTCTGCCATAAGGACTATATAGTCAGTCAATGTATTGTCCGAAAGCATGGGGTATGTACATAATTAAGAAAAACCGAAATACTTCGGATGTGAAGTGATTGACCAGTCGGAGTAGTCTTGTGAGAATTTACATACACAGTACCTATCCCCACTATGGGGCAATCACCGACTTTTTTAGTTTTTTTTTCTTTATTATTTATGCAATTTGCATTACGGCATCTTGTAAGACTCACAAGAACAAACATTTTCAGTCATATGAGGTTCTTTACGTACGATGCACCAATTCAGAAAAAAAATCGATATCAATTCAATAACTTTTCGAACAATATTTTACAACGAATAAAGTACAGAATTTATAATCTATAGGAACTAATATATTATAAATAAGAAAGATTTATTTAAGAAGTAAGCAATGCTCTCTGTGTTGTTCATTACTCTGCATACTGAGCTAGCTCAGTCAAATATAATATAAACAAAGCGTACGGGTAACACAGGTGATGTCCGATAGACGGCGCGTGGTTTGCTCCGAAACGAGCAAGGTCAATCGCATCGTATTCGGCCTTAAGCTTGTAACGCAATCTGTGTGACGGACGACGCTTTTCGCCACAAGCACAGTTTCGTGGTACGAGGCTCGCAGATGTTGTCAAGTGCGAGGCCGCGCGGGCGGGTCATATACCAGTGAAAATAATGGAACCTGCTATTTTATCCACTGTTGCCAAACGGACTTTAGTTATATACACAATATGGGCCATTAAGTTTTTGCACATTTGAAATTACCTTGAAAAAAATTTGCCATAGTTGCCACGCTTGGCAAGCAGGTCGGCAACCGCAGTTTTGTATTTTCAGTCGTTATTATTAAGACGCTGCTGCCCATCTCCTGATTTGTTTCCCGCTGTCAACTCTTACGACACCCACGGGATGATATATTCCTACACTGCAACTAAACGGTAACTGCAGCACATGAACACTTGGAACAGATTTCAGACAATTCAGGCTAAAGATGCGTTGTCGCCTTAGAACTAAGATAGAGTAACTCACAGCTTGTAATTATCCTGGCTCTCTATTCCCTTCAGACCAGAACACAGCTGTGCAAGTACCGCTGTTTGGTGCCAGAAATGGGTAATATGGTGCTATACCTACCATCTACACACATACTACAACCCCTAGATAATATACTATATAGGGCTTGGATGAGCCACTCTAACAAATTATTTTGTGACGAAACTAGGGAAGTTTCGATGGCGTTGGGATTATGAGTACACTAGAGGGCGCTATCAATTTTTATTCTGTACATTGTAATTAATAAACCATGATTTGATTTCCTGTATTTTTAAATCAAACTTATTTTATATATACGTATAACGCCGTATTTCAAAACTTTAATAACGTGACTTAGGCTTCGGTATAAATATTAAATATTAGCAGTGGTGCCATCTCTTGAGTAAAATGTGTAAGAATAGTAGGGAAAATAGTGTTTTATTGACTGTGAGATGGTGCTAATATCAACGTAAAAGCAAGCTACTGAGGACTTACTACCCAGACTACCCGGACTACCCAGATGGGCTCCCAGATAGCAAAGGAATTCTTTTCAAGTATTAAATAAAAGCAAGTAATAGCTTTTTAAAATTTTCCACTCGATAGAAGTGAGAATTAGGGGTTCCAAGTGGAATAAAGAGATTAGATAAGTCCCCAAGGGAATTTAATACAGCTACGTATAAAAATACCCATTAACGTGAACGCAATGTGTACGTTCCATTAGACGTATTTAGGACATTGGAGTTTTAAAATAAATATACGTTTAATACACTAAACTGATATTTCCTTATTAGATTTAAAAATATTATTTTAATTATTTAGGGCATGTGTAGGTACGGATGTTACCGTCGATATTAATTGTGAAATCACTATTTGTGATGAGCTTCCATAAAATACTGATGAAGGATAGATGAATTTCGGAGTGGTAAGGAATATTTAATATTTATTTATTATTAAACTAAAAACTACTTTAGGCATATTGGACACTTTTAAGATGAGGGAAAAGCACTGAGCTCGCGTAACCATCAATAATCAGTAATTAATTTTCAATATCTTTTTTTATTTATTCATTTATTTAAACTTCGTTGCACAAAAATGAACAAAAGCAGTCTTAACGCCTTAAGTCGAAGTAAGCGAAAAACACTACTTTGGAGATTCAAAAAGATTTGTAAGAGAAAGAATTATATAGATTACTTTACCTTTTTCGTATTTTCCTCATTTAATTACTTTATCATATTAGATATAATTTGTAAATATCTATATTTATATGTATTAACATTTTTTGTACACCCTTCTCTATTTCAACAATTTTTTGCATCAGTCCTCTATGCAAAGTTTGCCTCGAAGAGGTCACTTTCAGAGTGATAAGATCGCCTGTAGTACTACATGAAAGCTTTATAGTGTACTTGTACTCTTTTTCTGCATTTTGGTGTACAATAAGGAATTAGTAAATTAATTAATAAACATAAGAATATTGTGTACGGGACGAATATTAAATATATCAAAAAAGAATTTATTTTATACTTCCTTAGAAATGTGCAAACATTCGAAGATAGAATCTACCATGTTCTCTCCAAATAATAATTGATCATGTTTTTTTTTTCAATAGATTTTTTACTTATATTTATTTAATTTTTTAATTTATTTTACTGTTTAGATATTATTCCTATTAATCCAAAATTGCGTTGCGTGATTCAATCTAGGTAGGTAAATGTTATGTGCACTTTTAATAATTTAAGTTTAATAAATTTATAAAACTTAATATGTATGTCAAAGCGTATAAAAATGTGATTTTTTGTGATCATTTCGTTTATGTGTATTGTAAGTATACTTGTTAAATAAATAAATAAGGAGTATATACACCTAAAAGACACGAACGGCACATGGAGGTAAAGTACATAAAATATTCAAGTTATTACATTTCACTTAAAAGAAACATTCGATTGTTTTCAAAACAAGAATAACATTCAAATATTTTTAAAAAAGCTTATCTAAGCCGGGAATTGAAACAACTAAAAACCCAAAAATATTGAAAATTACTACTTTATAGAACCAATCGATATATGATATGCATTTCAAACCTATGATAAGCACAAAATCTCTCAAATAAACTTACAATTAAAGAAGACCATGAAACCTAAAAATTCTTGTATGTCTACTCGAACTAATATTCTTACTAAGACCGTTACTTTAAAAAGTTAAAAAACCTTTTTTTTTCAATTTCTCTGTTTGGATTTGAAATTTAATATCTTCAACAATGTAATTTCCCTCCATGTCCCGTTCGTCTTCCCACGCTGTATAACAGTTTGGAGTGCTTACTTGAGCAACTCTGCGGCCTGGCGGCGCTCAGATTCCGTGGCCTTATCACCAAGTTGTAGGAGCAACGCTGCTCTAGCGTAAGAGTACACGGTGCGAGACCAAGAACTCTCTTCAATGAGACGCCCCGCGAATCCGGCTGCCTCGCGCCAATCCATCATCATGCTACGCAAATTGGTCACAAATTAAATAATTCGAATAAAACACAAAAAATTATAAACTAGAATAAACGTCTGTCCGCACACGCACACACCCGAGGGGGATGTGAGTGGGAGTTATTTATAAAAGTAAGAGTTTCAAACGAGCACACAGTCCAAATTATTACTAAGAATCTAAATACAAAATGCGTTTTCGCTGACGTGACCCCTGACGACTGAACTGAAATCTCTCATTACCAGTAAAAACGACCTCCGGTGGCATTTGAGTACTCTAATCTCACCATACGAATCATAGCACAATTATGCTGTTATTTCATGGTATGTTATTCTGTGAGAGCGTGGTCCTTCTCCGGTCGAGCAGAAATATTCGTGCTACAAGCATAATATATTACGAAATATTCCTCGTGCATTGTTTTTTGTTGCAAGCACTACGTGGTAGAGCCATGCTGCAGTTATATTAGTAGTATAGTTGTAGCACGAATGGGTCGGCTCGACCGGGGAAGGACCACGCTCTCACAGAATACCAGCGTGAAATAGTAGCTTAATGTTGCTGTGTTTCGTATGGTGAGTGTAGAGAACCGGAGACCCTTTTTACTTGAAACGCGGCATTCCATCTTAGTCCTCACGGGTGACAACGCATTTGCAGTTTGGTTCGTAATCGAGGATAGATGTAGATGTCTATGGGCCCAGCAACCACTTACCATCAGGTGAACTGTGTGCTCGTTTGTCACCCTATCCTATAAAAAAACAAATAGGCGATCGTTTTGTGAAGGTAATTATGCATAAAAATCATTGGATGTATTCGCCAGTCTCAAACCAGTCCCTAATCTAGTATTGTCTATGTCAAGCAATGTATTTTAAAGATCTGGTAAAGAAGTAAGATAAACCATCGCTACTTTCCACGATAATCGGTCGACTCAGGTTTGAGATTGAACTGACTGATACACAAACTGTCATTTTCCTAGACAAACTACCTTAACGTAAATGATGAAAATTAAGCACACTATGTGTTAGTGTTGTACATACTTATACATACATGGACATATTTAATTGAAATTATAAAATTAAAGCATGATCTGCGAATGATTTCTCATATTTACGCGAACACTACACATTGAAATAATACTAGTTTTTACGGATTTTATCGTGTATATTTAACTATAAATACCCGAAGTTTTGTGACGCGCCTACGTCACAGTGAACGAGTGAAGCCGGCCACAGTCGAGCGTGTACCTGCTGTACTGCCATATGTTAGAGGAGTCACTGACAAGATTGGCTACATCTTGAAGCGCGCTTCCATCAAAACATACTTCAAGCCGCTGAAGAAGATTGGTCAGTTTTTACAATCAGTCAAGTGTAATGTCCCTCTGCAAGATGCAGGAGTGTACAAGCTTGATTGTGAATGTGGTCTCTCCTACATAGGACAAACTAAAAGATCAATAAAAACCCGCGTTAAAGAACATATAGCTGATGTGAAGAATCGACGCTCCGGGAAGTCTGCAGTCTGTGAACACGTACAGGATCGCCCCCGCCACTACATCAGATTTGATAGACCGCAAATCTTCGCTAAAGAACACCGATTTCTTCCAAGGATGATTCGCGAGGCTATTGAAATTCAAAAACATCCTAATTTCAATAGAGAAGATGGCTGGGTGCTGCCATCTTCTTGGGATCCTATAATAAATAAAATTAAATCCCAACCCAAGCATACAACTGCAAGACTTCAAGATACCATAAGTTTATACTGTGTAGATCAGAACAAAAGTTAAATTTTAATCTATGGTAACCGCTGTTAACTATGACATCTGGACGTTGAACATCTCAGTCCCCCCCTGAGCATGGGTGCTGTAAAGCGCTCGAAACGTTGGGTATTGTTTCGGATATAGTTAAATATACGCGATAAAATCCGCAAAAACTAGTATTATTTCAATGATCTGCGAAAATAAAAGAAATCAAAGAAAAATTCTGTTTGGTCTTCTAGAGCCCTATTGGTAATGGTCCTAATATGTAGGTTTGAGAGAGTGACGTTACACGAGTTAAAATTTTATTTCTGTTATTAATGTAGTTTTTAATAATTCATACGCTTCATAAATTAGTTTAATTTAAGAGATTTGTAAGATTTTAAATTTTCTTAATGAATTTAACATTCTGTTGACGAGGAAATGGCTACGAAAAAATATTATGTTGCTATATTTAATTAATAAATTTTTAGTCAAGCTGATTTTTCATTCTTCAGATAAAAGTTTTCCATTAAATAAATTAAAACCGGAATAAAAGTATAACTATTAAACTATTTTATTCATGTTCTATTTTATCTTATGAACAACGCTTATTTGGTTACTTAAATATAAACAAAAAATCTAAATGGATAATATTTATGTGGAAACACAAACGAAGTATTTTTAAGTAGGATTGCAGCACGAATGGGAAGCTCGTCCGGGGTAGGACCACGCTCTCACAGAATACCGGCGTTAATTAAAAGAATCGTAATATTTAAAATTTTATTAATAAATTTAACAACGGAATTAATGGGGAAACGGCTGCAACCACAATATAGCTGCAGCGTGGCTCTACCATGTAAAAATATGCGTATAGCACGCGTGGGTGACTCACAGAATCATCATCATCATCATTACAGCCCTTCACAAGTCCACTGCTGAACATAGGCCTCCCCCAAGTAATGCCACAAAGCACGGTCCTGAGCCACCTGCATCCACCTACTTCCTGCATGTCTTACCAGGTCGTCACTCCATCTATTGGGGGGTCGCCCTACACTGCGCCTACCGGTACGAGGCTGCCACTCGAGAACCTTTCTTCCCCATCGGTTATCGGTTCTTCTAGCTATATGGCCGGCCCATTGCCACTTCAGCTTACTAATCCGTTGGGCTATGTCGGTCACTCTGGTTTTACTGCGGATATCCTCATTTCTCACAGAATACCAGCGTAAAATAGCAGCTTATCTGCTGTGTTTCGTATGGTGAGTGTAGAGGACCGGAGACCCTTTTTACTGGAAAAGAGGCATTCAATCTTAGTCCTCAAGGGTGACAACGCATCTGCATTTTGATTCGTGAGAAGATTGATGTGAATGTCTACGGGCCGCAGCAACAACTTACCAACAGGTGGACTATGTGCTCGTTTGCCACCCTTATCCTATAAAAAAAGATAAACTAAGAACGTACGCGTTAGCCCACATGAGTTCCCAGTAGCAAAGATGACGGAGCTGCCTCCACAAATGAGGAGTTTCAGCCGCACGCTTGTAGGTGGCCGCTGCAAGGGAGCAACGCCCACGAAGAAGCTGCAAGCGGCCTTCGAACAGCAGGAACCAGACACCTTCTGGGTATACCTGGTGATATTTATAACATTTAACATACATATTATTTGGTAAATAATTTTACCAATAAATAAACTTTTATTGTGGTAGGTCTACGATAACTGGGCAGCTATAGTTTCTCTTGGTCATGTCTTTGGTCTTTAGCCAAACAACAATTTTATTTTCTGACCTACCTTCAGTTGCGTCTCCAGAATACGCTGGCAGAGATCGAAGTCCGGTATTGCGCCAGCGAAGTGGCTCACCACCAGATGATACGCGAGTAAGGTCAGTTCGCAAAGTACTCCGCGAAGACCAGGCTCGCGGGCACCAGCCTGCAGTTCAGCCAAACCAGCGTCCTGAAACGCAAAAAAAAATTAAAATTATTACATCGTCATCTTCAAAATCAGGCCATAAGGAATGCTTATGGGCCTCTGTCTTCAGCATCTTCCTGCCCTTACCCCAAGTTACTTAATTTAAATGACTTATCCCAAGTCATCTACGTGGTAGAGCTATGATGCAACTATTTTATGGTTATAGCAAGAATGGGTCGGCACGATCTGGGAAATACCAAGCTCTCACAGAATACCAGTGTAAAAAAACAGCTCAACGCTGTTATATTTAGTATCGTGAATGTGGAGAACGGGAGACACTTTTTACTGGAAATAAGGTACTCAATCTTAGTTCTCAAGGGTGACAACGCATCTGCATTGTGATATATGGTCGATTTATGATGATAAAGAGTCTATGGACCGCAGCATCCACTTAACATCAGGCGGGTGGTTTGATCGTTTGCCACCCTTACTCTATATAAAAATCCATCTGTAATGTGTTGACGATCAAGGCAGCTTATGCTAATAACGTGGTCATAAATTAGATAAGGGACGATATAACTATTTTTTGTGTTTACGAGAACATTACATATTTTTAATAAAACTAGTTTTTACAGATTTTATCGCCTTATAACTAATTTAATATTCCAGACGTTTCGCAGTAAAGTACTTTAAATATATTATGCTGTAAAGTACTCGAAACATGTACAATACTCAAAACATGTACTATAAAGTAATCGAAACATGTACTATAAAATTTTCTCGAAACGTGCACTGTATAGTACTAGAAACATGTGTCGTATAGTACTTAAAACATGTGCTGCAAAGTACACGAAACATATGCTGTGAAGTACTCGAAAAATGTCTCGTAAAGTAGTCGAAACATGTGCTGTACAGTAATCAAAACGTGATTGCGTGGTAGATTTTGAGAAGAGTCGGGCAAAAGCTTTTTTTTCGACATCATATAGTCAGATTTCTACATGGCGCAAATCGTTAATGGTTACCGTAATTTAGCTATAAGAAACTTTTACTTTTCAAAACTCAACAGTTTCTGCTTAAAATGTGTGCGAAGACAAATAATTTTTTTTGTATAAAAATGAAATAAAGTGATAGGGAAAAGGATGGAGAAAAAATAATCTTTTTATAAATCGCCCTACTTCTCGGAGCGACTGGCTGGAACTTGGGGTCGGGGCAGAATAAAATGGGTCTTGTACCATATTGCTAGCTTTCAAAAATATAGCATAATTCACCGGGAATTTGAATTTTACGGTCTTACCCTATCACCGATCTTACCCCAATGCACTATATATAAATTAATATAATCCTCGATGTAATCTATAAGAATCAATCAATCATTTTATTCGTTTCAACAGGTAACAAGGTTGACAATGTTATAAAACTAGTTTAATTTATAAGACGATATGAAACGCATTCCTTACCTTGTCTCCAGAGAATCCCACAAACTCGAGCAAAGTCACGATGCGAGGCGGCAACATGGCTATCATTAGACTGAACGTGGCCAGGCCGAGACGTACGCCGCTTTGGAAGTGTTGACGCGACTCTGCAGTCTCCCAATTCTTCTTCTCCAGAATGCGGGCGCACTCCCTGGTAGTCACAGAATTACATTTAGTATAAGTTTATTTTTGTGTATCTACATATGAAAATTTATATTTTCACTACGCTAAGTTTGTAAACGATGGTATGACATGGTTTTTCCTACTCAATCTTTTGATATTCATTTTATTATTATTTGCGCATTTTTATAATATATTTGAAAAATAACATTAATGAAATGTAAAAAAATAATAAATATTTGTATTGTTAACAATTTGCAGGCCTGGACAGAATGTAATGGAACTCATGTGTTTTAATAATAATTTTCTCAACACCTACGTTCTATTATTATCATCATTATTACAGCCCTCTACAAGTCCAGTGATGAACATAGACCTCCCCCAAAGAATGCCACAAATCACAGTCCTGAGCCACCTACACCCATAGACTTCCTATATGTCTTACCAGGTCATCACTCCATCTAGTGGGGGAAGCCCTACACTTCGTCTACCGATACGAGGCTGCCTCTCGCGAATCTTTCTTTCCTATCGGTTGTTGGTTCTTCGAGCTATATGGCCGACCCATTGTCACTTCAGCTTACTTATCCGTTATGCTATGTCGGTTACTCTTACTTTTTTTACTGGCTAAGGCGACAAAGAGAGTGCCATGAAACTGAGGAGATACGACGAAGGGGTTCTTTTTAAACGGTAAACGCTCAAGCTTGTCGTTTTGAACTGGACAAGATTTAGTCGCCCCCAGTCCGAGACTTTGTTCAACAAAAAAAGATCGCATCCCGACCCAATTGGCTGACCAAACACGGCGGTAACCTGCAGAACGCAATCGTGATGGGAGCGTGAGTGGCACCGTACTCCGGATCAGCCAGTGGTTCGAAGAGTCAAGAGGGAGAGATCGACGGAGACCTGAGATCCGTCCAGATGAGGTCAGCAGAATGTCCAACAGAGAAGGTACATGATCTTCCACATGTGGAATCTGCGTAGGCAAGGTAACCAGTTGTGTCAGACCATATGCCAAAGTGAAGGCATAAACAGGTCTACCCGCATGATCGGTTAAACGGGAACTAAGTCATCCAGCGTGGTGGGTGTTAAAATCAACACGCATCACGATCTATGCGGATGGGATCTGTTGTAGTCGGTCTGTGTCGGCTAAACAGCTATGGAACCTAGTAGTATCAGCCGAAGAGGTCACCTGTGCCGCGGTTAGAAGGAGCAAGACCGGCTTCGCCGTTTCCAGATGGTAGTAGATAGCGTTAAGGTTTAAATTAAGTCCCCTGATGTTGCAGAAATTCACGAATAGCGCACTTTCTTTTTTCTTCTTACTCCGTTTGCCTCGAGCAGGTTTAGGGTCGGAATTCCCCCTCCCCCTCTCCCCAGAATACGCAGGGCAGCACCCACGCTCAGGAAGAGTAGGGTAGCTTGGGCGTAGATGCTCAGCGAGGGATTGTCCGTCACCGGAAATGCTGGTACCCCCCTGGGGTAGTTTTCTATTTAACTCCGCTACTATGTTAAGGGAGGCCTCCGGCCACTTGCACTCGTCAGACGAAATGCAGAATGCTTCTTCTTGCTAATTCACGCTGGTCTTCTGTGAGGTCGTGGTGCCACCCAGGTTCGAGTCAGCCCATACGTGCAACAACAAAGGCTGCCGCGTTGCTCCACCACTGTTAACTGTTCAAATGGTACTACTGGACTATGGGTAATAATTAATAGCATCAGGCGTTACTTTGCGAAAATCTATTATATTAAAGATGTTAAAAATTAACTAGCTAAGATCCGTGTAGTGAAATAAAATGATGTGTCTTAGTCTCCCGCCCTTCGTCGAGTTCAATCACCATCCCCGACACCACTACTCCCAAAATCACTGCACTAGAAAAGTACATCACTGTCGATACGACACGTGTTTCGCCTCTAAACGAGGCAGCCTCGGGTGATGTAGACTGAGGTGGCTGTTCGCCTCAACTCACTTGTAGGTGCTGTAGCAGCTCTTGACCTTGATAGTGGCGCGCAAAAACCCAGCTATATCATCGCCGTCTAGTATGCAAAGGGCCGCTTGGAGCAATCCCGACTCGGCATAGCACAGTTCCGCGTGAGCCTCCATATCGGTCATCGTGGCGTAGTTAGTCTGGCGAGGAAGTTAAAGAATATTAAATTTTTTTATACATCAAGTTCAACTTATTTCAGCTACGAAAATAACCAAAGTTAATTTACAACTATTTTTTTTATACCCCACACTAAGATTTTCTCCTGTATCGTGGGTGCAGTTTACATATATAAATTGCACAAGGACAAACATCCAGATCCGGAACAATTACTTGCAGAACATACAAATACTTGTCCTGTGCAGGATTCGAACCCGCGGCCCCCAGCGCAGCCACTCATTGCTAAGCCACTGCGCCACGGAGCCTTATATAAGTCTCAAAGATATTTACGTGGTAGGGTCATGCTGCAGGTATATCATAGTTGAAACACGAAAGGGTCTGCTCAACCAGCGAAGGACCACGCTCTCCTGGAATAACAGCGTAAAATAGCAGCTCATGGCTGCTGTGTTTCATGTGGTGAGTATAGAAAACCGGATACCCTATTTACCGTACGTGGTAGACCCATGCTGTAGCTATATTATAGTTGTATCTCGAATGAGTCAGCTTGACCGGTGTAAAATGTGTGTGAGTGTAGAGAATCAGTAACCCTTTTTTCCGGAAACGAGGCATTCCATCTTAGTCCTCAGGGATAACAACGCATTTTGATTCTTTATCGAGAATAAATGTAGATGTCTATGGACCACAGCATCCACTCACCATCAGGTAGACTGTGCGCTCGTTTGTCAACACTATTAAAATATACTTACATTCGTTTTTCATCGTGCATCGTACACCTGACCTTGGTGGAACATACAACAAGATGGTCCGTGTGTAGATCACTGGAGATTCTTTTGATCTTACGTGATTTAAGCTTGGTGCAGCTTTATTATAAATAATTACATACGTCACCCTACTTCATTGTACGCACGCACGCACCTTGGCAAAACGTGCGGCAAGATGGTCTATGACTGTGTGTAAGGCCTTTAAATGTCAACATTTTAGGCCAACACTTACGGTAGGCAGTACATATATTTACTACAAGGTTTTTCAGATAAAAATTCTGATCAGTGGACTTATTATTCACTCATATTAAGATCACAGGTATCTCAAGGGATAATCACTTTATTTAAGCGGAAATTTATTCATGCACAAGCAATCCCAGTTAGATTTCCGCTGCCAACAAATAAGTTTTAAGTGGAAATTTTAACTAAAATTAACACTTTTTTTATATAATAGGGATTACAAACAAGCACATAGTCCGCCTGTGGTACATTACATTTTAGAAATGCAGATGTTTTGTCACACCTGATGTCTAAGATGGAATACCTCGATCCCAGTAAAAAGGGGTCACACGTGCTCGGCAGTACAGAAAAACATCATGAAGAAGACTCAATGATTGAAGTGTACAGTATAGTGGCGGTTGAGAATATCCACTAGCCCATATCATCCCGTGGGCGTCGTGCTGTCGCAAGTGGAAAGAGGGAAACAAATCAGTGATGGTCAGCAGTGTACTTTTAATAACGACTGAAACAACACTGCGGTTGCCAACCACCTTGCCAAGCGTGACGACTACGGAAAATATCACGTCCATAAGGCCATCTATCCTTATATTCAGCTGTGGACTTTAATAGACTGTACGGCAACGGTATGTGAAGTGGAAACACGCACTGGAGTGCGGCAGTCTAATTATTTCACAACCCTCTCGGATTAAATAGGAAGCCTATACCCAATAGCAGTGTTATACTGGGTGTCTCAGAAATCGACGTCAAACCGGATACGGGATAGTCATGAAAGTTATCAGAAAAACAAAATTAAAAATAATTAAGTTATGTATTTTTTTTAATAGGCATTTTAAAAAACACACCCTATAGTAGTATTTTAACAAGAGTTTCTACATATCTTTAATTTTTTTTAATTATGTAATCCTGAATAATGCTTCTGTAAGTTGTTGTATAAAATTGAATGCCAACTGCTTTAGCTTGGAAGAAAATGTTACTTTTAGCTAAACTAAGTATACAAAGTTAATACTTCGTCCAATTTTAACTTTACTGAAAAGAAACGCACGATGCTGGTTTGGAAAGTGGACTTTAAAAGATGGCACATTTAATTAGGACTGCAAAATTGTATGACACTTTGCTAGATTATTACTTCGACTACTTTTATTTTGTAAATAAACCCAGTTTTGAACAGTTTTTTCTTACTTACTTTAAATAATTCTAGTGTGACCAAGGCTTTCCACAAGGCCGTAACTTTAAGATTCTAGTTTGGAGTGAGATGGAGAGAGACGGAGTCATTTTATATATATCATGTCATTTTATATGATAGTGACGTCACTTTTACTTTGTATCAGAGATGGAGAGAGACGGAGAAAATAATTTTACGATATGTGAGCAAGACAGATAGTGACGCCATTTTTATTAATGTGTGAGACGGATTGGTACATCATTGAACTAGTGTTGTCCATCTTCAACAACGCACACAATACAGAGCAAGTACGTTGCGCTTCGTCGTTTACTGCACATTTTTCAGTATTCGTTCGTGATGATTTAGTACTTACCACTTTTTGTTTTTGCTTTGTTTATTGGGCTTGATTGCTTGTGATTTGGATTTTATTTCTTTCTGACGACCTTTGCTATCTCCTGGACTATCGTTGTTAGTGTGAATGTGTAGTGCCCTCATGTGTGTGTACACCGCACAGGTATATGCCAACATGCATTTTATTTATGGGGAATGGAGAGGCAATTCCAGTGCTGCAGCTAGAGTTTATCGTGACAGGTACCCGAATGCAGCTCGTCATCCGGATCTTCCAGTTTTTACAATATACATCGTTTAATTTTAGAGAGCCGATTCTCACACCAAGCACATGGTAAAGGAAGAATTTCTTTTCCATACGAAGACATCACACCACAAGCAATCGAAGAAAACCTGAGTACTTCAGTAGGAGTACTTAAAGCAAGCACAATAGTACCCAAAAGTATAGCCCACTAAATCTTGCAAAAAAAAAGAAGTTCCACCCGTATCGCGTGCAGCGAATATCTATAAAACTTAACTACGCCGGGATTATCTTAGAAGAGTGGTGTTTTGTCAAATGATCTTCCCGGTGCCTTGATTCTTCGAAAAAATTTAATGATCTGAAGAGTCGATATTTAATAAACATGGTTAAATGAATCTACACACCTTACACGAGTGGCATGTAGAAAATCCACATTTGATGAGACAGGATAGGTCACAGTATCGTTTCAAAATAAACATGCGGATCAGAATTTTAAACGGAAAAATCATTAGACTTTTTGAGATGCCAGAAGTCTTTTTATTTGGATTTTTCGGAAGAGGCGCTATTAAGCATTTACAAGGACATGTGGTTCCAGCAAGAAGGGTGCCCGGCACACTATGCGCACACTACACTACACTACACTGAGCGGTTTGAGAATACCTCAATGAGAAATACCCGAGGAGATGGAAACCGAGGAGTTAGCAATAAATAATTTAGAAGGTGTCATACCATTTTGGAATCCTTATCAAATGCGCCAACTTTTAAGGTTACTCGTCAAACTAGGGTAGTACATTGTTTTTAGTATTGTCAGTTAAAATTGGACGAACTATTAACTTTGAATACTTAGTTGAGCTAAAAGTGGCATTTTCTTGCAAGCTTTAAATTTAGTTCATAACATAAACACTCACGCCTGTCACCCAGAGGGGTAGGCAGAGACTACGGACTTCCATTTGGCACTATCCTGACATACCTCTTTCGCCTCCTTTACATCCATATATCTACGCATACATGCTCGTCGGTTAAGTGTACTTCTAACGTGGCCCATCTTCAAAATATCGCCAATTTGGTCGATAAACTTTTTTCTAGGGCGTCCCTTCCCGACTCCGCCGTTCACATCTGCCATATAAATTTGCTTTGTCACTCTTTCCTCATTCATTATTTCTATATGACCAAACCACCGAAGCATTCCTTTCTTAATCCTGGTCACAACATCATCTTGCATACCACATTTATCTCTTATCACGCAATTTCTCACCCTGTCATTCAGATTCAACCCTAGCATATTCCTTAAAGACCGCATTTCTACAGCATTTATTCTACTTTCGTGTTTCTTCTGCCACACCCAGCTTCCACAACCATGCATTAAAGTAGGGACTAACACAGCATTATGAATTACCATACGTGCCTTTTTTGACACATTCTGGTTCTTCATAATAGAGTGTAGTGCCCCATTCACTCTATTCCCTGCATTTACTCGTCGTTCTATATCCCTATCATATCTACCATCCCTGCTAAATACACATCCCAAATACACAAATTCATCCACTTGCTCAATTAACTCTCCTTCTATTCTTATTTCACATACCGTTTTGCTTTCTTCTCTTTCAAATACCATCACTTTCGTCTTACTTGCGTTCACTTTCATTCCCCTTTCTTTTAATGCCCAGTTCATTAATGTAACCATCATTTGCAACTCAGCCGCCGATGACGCAAATATGACTTGATCATCGGCATACAAAAGGCATTTAACGGTTAACTCGCCCATTCTTAACCCACATTCTTCATCTTTCAAAGTTTGCAAACACCTGTCCATAAATAGGTTGAACAGCCAACGGGAAGCTACACAGCCCTGTCTGACACCTTTTTGGATGCCAAACCAGTCTGAGTAGACCCCATTGATCCTGACACAAGCACTAGAGTCCCTTTAAAGAGACCTTAATGCCTGTATCAAACCAGCGCTCAATCCATATGAGTCCAGTGTTTGCCATAAGACATTCCTGTCCACTCTGTCATAAGCCTTTTCCAAGTCCATGAACGCACAAAAAACTTTCTGGTTTTTGGCCAAAAACTTCTCCGCAGTCATGCGCATGGAAAAGACTTGATATTTACACACCATTCCCTTTCTAAAACCCGCTTGCACATCCCAAATTTTTCCATCAGTTTCTTTCATAACTCTTTCAATTAACACCTTAGCATACAGTTTACCCACAATACTAAGCAAGCTGATACCACGGTAATTTTTGCAGTCCCGCTGTGACCCTTTTCCTTTATATATTGGTACTATAACTGCTTTACACCAGTCATCCGATACCCGTTTTAATTCCCAACATAAATTAAACAAGGTGTACAGCAGGCCTGCCACCACTCCCTCTCCAGCCCTTAGCATCTCGAGTGATACTCTATCATATCCAGCTGCCTTACCTGCTTTTATACTTTTCATTGCTTTCATTATTTCATCTACACTTATCTCCATACCCCTTTCCACTTCTTTCGGAATTTCTAGTTCATTTAATTCAGACGACTCTTCACTCATAAACACTCTATCAAAGTATTCCTTCCATCTGTTTAAATTCGAAACTTCATCATTCAGAATACATTCATTCTCGTCTCTTATAGCATTAATTATAGACTGTTTTGTATTTCCCCTGGCAGTTCTTACAGAGTTTCCAGAACATGTTTATGTTATCCTGGAAATTATCAGATATCCTTCTATCATTCTTATCCGTTCTTTCTTTCTTTTTCCTTTCAACAACTTGTTTTACTCTCTTATTTAGACGTCTAAATTCTGCCTTTAAATTTAGTTTAGTTGGTTTTAAATTTAAGGCGACAACTTACAGAAGCATTATTCAGGATTACGTAATAAAAAAAAAATATGTAATAACTGGAGTTAAAAGACTATCATAGGGTGTAGATTTTCTAGATTTCTTTAAATGCCTATTATTTTAAAAATACATGACTTAAATTTCATATTGTAATTTTCTGATAATTATCATGATTTTAAATTTCAGTCACGGCGGCCAGACTCTACGGAGACTACATCAGTGCAAGACAGGATTATAGTGCGGGAGTGCATGCGTAAGCGCAGTTGCTCTCTCAACTCTCTAACTCTCATAACCCGATGAGACGTAGTCCGACACGACCGGATAGAAATCTTTACGTTCTTTCGGAGCCGTGGAGTTGAAATACCGCCAACTTCCTGACTCCGAGCTGCTGCTAAGAATTTCTTGACAGGAAAACCCAATTACTGAACACGACCCGGGATTTGTAACGTACCTTTTTGATCATGGTGCCGAGCGTCTCCACTAGAGTGTAGGAGCGCCGATGTTGATGGCAGAGGGCCAGCGTCCGCTTGAGTGCAGCCAAAGCGCGAGCCACTTGAGCGGAGTCCAGGGTAAGAACGGCTGGGATGAACTCGAATATGGACACCCCCAAGCTGTGGTACAGCGAAGTGTTGCTCCTGTCAGGTAAGTTTGAGTAAGTTGATGCATGTTTGAATACTGCTAGCAATTCTAAATTTAATTAAGACAGAGAACGTAGAATTAATAAGTGACGCCTGCTAAAGGAATACGAAGTTTACGAGGCAGTTTTTTTACAGAATAAAGGTGACAAACAAACTCATAGTCCATCTGATGGTAAGTGAACACTGTGGCCCATAGACATATCCATTTATCCTCTATTTAGAATCAAAATATAAATGTGTTATCACCCCGGAAGACTAAAATAGAATGCCTCGTTTCCAGTAAAAAGGTTCTCCGGTTCTCTACACTCACCATACGAAACACAGCAGCATTATTCTATTATTTCACGCTGGTATTCCATGAGAGCGTGGTGCTACCGCGGTCGAGTCGAGCCATTCGTGTTACAGTCACAATATAGCTGCAGGGTGGATCCACCACGTATGACGTATAGAGGCATACCACACTTTAACTTACAGCTAATATTCATCAGCCATCAGTCACTACACACAGTAGCTTTACGCAGTACGACTTTGCTATTACTAAAATATGCAGCAATATAATTAAAAAGAATAATGTCTTACCAATTCGTCACCCCATTTAGTGGGGGGACGCCCTATACTTTGCCCACCGGTACGAAACTGCCACTTGAGAACTATTCTTCCCTGGCGGGTGTCAACTGTCTTAAGACCTTGTAAGACATGTAGGAAATCTATGGATGCAGGTAGCTCAGGGCCGTGCTTTGTGGCATTCTTTGAGGGAGGCCTATATTCAGCAGTGGACTTACGAAGAACTATAATGATGATGATAAAAAGAATAATGCACAATTAGTCACACAACTTGCCTATTAAATTAATTTAACGATGTCTTTTTTTATAGCATTAGGTGACAAACGGGCACACAGTCCACCTGATGGTAAGTGGATGCTGTGGCCGATAGACTTACATTATCCTCAATTAAGAATCGAAATGGAAATGCGTTTCCACCCCTGAGGACTAACATGGAATGCCTCGATTCAAGTAAAAAGAGTCTCCGGTTCTCTACACTCACCATTCGAAACACAGTAGCATTACGCTGCTATTTTAAGCTAGTATTCTGTGAGAGTCTATTTTAAGCTAGTATTCTGTGAGAGTCTATTTTACGCTGGTGTCCTGGTCCGGTCGAGCAGACCCATTCGTGCTACAATTATAATACAGCTGCGTGTCTCTACCACGTAAAAGTTCTTAAGAGTTTCATCTACAACACTAAAGATTTTTCGTCCAATAGAAGGACCTTTAATTATTAGGTCTTTACCTATGCAATTGCCGCTTTTTATGAAATAAGTTAACGTATTTTTTTTTTGCTAACGCAGTGGCTGTTTATTGATGTCCATCTTGATGAAATCACCTGAACGGGAGGCAACAAATTCTTCAAAGGCGTTTTGTACTGCCTATCGGATATTGAAATTTTTCCCCGCCAAAAAATATCCAAATTCTGGAAAAAGTCTGTAGGCGCAAGGTCTGGTGAGTACGGCGGAATGACGGAGAGCTTCCAACTCTAGCTCTTGTAGCATGCAGTGATCACCACCTTTCTAAGACTTTGCTAAAACAGAATCAACCCACTTGCTGAGCGCTTGTGATTGTCAAACAGAATCCATTTTTTGTCAAAGGTCAAAATGCGGTTCATAATTCCTTCGTTTGTGCGCCTGTTGAGCAGTGCAAGGCACGTCTCGACGCGTATTTCGCGCTGGCGATTATTAAGCTCGTGGGGCACACATTTGTCAAGCTTTTTACCTTGCCAATTTCACGCAAATTGACCAATATTGTTTTGATGCTAACGTCGAAAGCTGCTGCTAACACAGCCGTATATTGAGTGTCATCAGCTTCCACAATCGCTTCTAATTCGTCATTGTCGACCAAAGTTTTCGGACGACCACGGGGTTTATTTTTCAGGTCGAAATTTCCAGAACGGAAGCGCACAAACCATTGGTGGTGAGTTCGTTTGTAGTATTCACTCTGAAAACATCGTTGGTATTGCATGCCGCTTGTGTCGTGTTGCTGCCACGATGGTACTCATATTCCATAGTTACTCAAATTTTCAACGTATCCACGATGACGAAAAAGATTCAAATGCGATTAAAACGTAACGCTTATCAATAAACAAAAATGTCTAATTATGAAAAAAACAATTCGATGTTTTTAAAATAAAATTAATTTAAAGTTATAATTCCTAGCCAAACAAAATTCATTTTCATTTGAAATGGCCAGTACTACAGAACGGCAATTACATAATAGGTAAACCTATTATTAAAATACCAACCAAATGTATTCCAAATCCATTTTATTCGATTCAATCCATTCAAAATCTAAAAACGAAAATCCGTTGGTCCTGTGCCTGATATCTCTCCGGTCAGTCGGATTGTCGACCTATCAGACTATGACAGTGAAGAAACTCGTGCATTATAATCCTATCCTGTACAAGATGGCTAGTCTCCGTTGAGATATGGGCCGTCGTGACCGAAATTCGGTCTGGAGAACATCAAATTCAAAAAGTTTACTACACATTACAACATTTCGACTTACCACACCTTCATGATGTCCATAGCACCCTCGAGATCATTGTTAAAGAACTTTTTGATGGCCAACTCGCAGTCTTGCAACGCAACATGCAAATCCATATTGTACTTGACGATGAAACTGTAGAAGTAAACATTGATTAAAATACCTTTTTTAATAGAATAGAGTTACCAAACGAGCACACAGTGCACCTGATGGTAAGTAGTTGCTGTGGCCCATAGACACCTACATGTATCCTCGATTACGAATCGAATGCCTCGTTTCCAGTAAAAAGGGTCACCGGTTCTCTACACTCATTATACACAGCAGCGTGTTATCTCACGCTGGTATTCTGTGAGATCGTAGTCCTTTCCCGGTCGAGCCGACCCATTCGAGCCACAAGTATGTTACTAATATAACTACAGCATGGCTCTACCGCGTATGAAATACCTCTACACTTAAATCCTCAGATTCAACATGACCTGCCGACGAAAATGTAGAAATAGGCTGGCGTATTTGAGTAACGGAAATCATATTAATACCATTAAAATTAACAAAAATTAAGCAAACTTCAAGTACTTTTAAAATTTTAAGAAAATTACAATTTTAAATATTTCACATATTCATATATCAATCTATACTCACTCTGACGGGTCTTCGGCAGCATCCTCATATTTATCCTGGTGATCAATACAAAATAATCGGTTAGAATTCGATATTTTATTTTATTTCCATTCTTTCGTTTATAACAGCCTATCAAAAACCACCGCTGAACATAGGCCTCAAAATAGAGACCTATATTCGTTCCACTGCTGGGCACAGGCCTCCTCCCACTTCTGAGAGGGTTTTAGGGCAAGGAAATGTTCGCCACGCTACCCCAATGCGTGTTGGCGAAGCTTCACATGTCATTGAAATATGTTTTTTCTTTTTCTTAGACATGCATGTTTCCCTCACCATCGAGCACGTGGTAAAACAACACTTAAAATGCAATTGTTAAATTTCATTGGGGTCAGCTGGGATAGAACCGGTATGCGCGTTTTTTTTTTATAGGAGAGGGGCAACTGAGCATACGGTTCACCTGATGTTAAGTGACTACAGCCGCCCATGAACCACTGCAACACCAGGAGAATTATAGGTTCGTTGCCGGCCTTTTAGAAAGGCGAAGCTCTTTTCTTGAAGGTCGTTAGGTCGTATCGGTCCGGAAAAATCGCCAGCGGTAAGCTATTCCACAGAGAGGTCGTACGCGGAAGAAAACTAAAACGTGTACTGTGAAATTGACAGCGCGCGCTGCCCCTGCGCTACCACGGCTCCCAATAGGTTGCGCCATAAGGGGGTCAAAATTTGCCATCATTGTCACGCTTAATTGACGCCAGGCGGATAGCAAATCGTAGTTATTTTTCGGTTGTTGCTACTCATGTCCTGATTTCCCTCTATTTCCTCTATCGACTGTTACGACACCTATACGACGATAAGGGGTAGTCGATTGTGGTGGCTTGTAACGCCACTACACGCTTTACTTTGTATTATGCTCCTAATAATACCTAATATAATGTAGATAGTATACTATATGTATACTTAGAAGCAAGTTTGCCAACCAGTGACTTATGTAGATGCGTATGACCGAATTTGCATTTAAATGTATTTTTTTAATATAGTAAGGGTAACATACGAGCCCACAGTAGCTACCTGATGGTAAGTGGATGCAGTGGCCCACAGACATCTACATTTTAGAAAGCAGATGCGTTGTCACTCTCCTGGGGTTACAGATGGAATGCCTCGTTTTCAGATAAAAAGTCACCGGTTCTCTACACTCATTATACACAGCAGCGAGTTATCTTACGCTAGTATTCTGTGAGAGCGTGGGCCTATCCCGGTCGAGCAGACCCATTCGTTCTACAACTATAATATAGCTGCATTGTGGCTCCACCACGCACAAAACTTCATATTGTAGAATCGCTACCAATTATGTTAGTATTTTTCATAAGAACAATTCCTCCAATTACAATCGGAGTGTCTTCAAGAAAAGAGTCAATAAGTTTTTATTGCGCTAAGATAGATACGTTAAAGGGCTTCACCGTCATTTTTCACCAGATGGCTCTAGTCTAACACTATCTTATAATAAGTAAAAAAGAAATCGTATATTACGGAAATAACATCGATATCGACATATTTAAGTGTATAAAATACAAACAAATCTACCATTATACTAAATTTATTTAAAACTTTCATTAAATTACGATATGATAAGACAACGGTTTTATGTTTCCTCCTGCAATAAATATAATAATCTTAATGGAGTAAAAGATGCAGAAGTTTAGATTCCACCATTTTTATAATAAAGCCAAGGAATGTAATCTTCGGTTTTAAGTAACTCGGTGTAACGTAGAAAGAATGCATAAAAACGAGTTACAAATAAGCCTCAGAGGTGATTGTGAAGGGCTCCGTATCCGCGGATAATTTGGTTTATAGATATCTATATCTGTGTTTCGTGTAGATAAACGAAGACCACTTTTTACTGGAAACGAGGCATTCCATCTTAGTCCTCAGGGACGACAACGAAAATTTTAATTAAGGATGACAGCATCCACTTATGGATTGAATTTCTGGATTTCTCAAGTGATAATTCTGTCCAAGATCCACATTTCGAACCCCCTGATACAGCATCAGATTCGTCGACATCTAGTGGTATATCGACTCATTCGGTAAGATGAGCTGATTTGTTTAATCTCCTCGATACCCGACGTTTTACATAGATTTTATTTAGATTTGTCCACCGTAAACAAGGACCTATGTGGTTATATCACAGTTAATTACATATTTATACTGTGGTTGTATTCTCTATTATAAATTGTAAATACTGACCCCGATATTTTAGATAGTGATAAAGATGAATAAATAGTTGAATATAAATTATAAATTAAGGCTAGTACCTACTTAATATATAAATGATGCAATGATAAATAAAATCGCGTTTTATTAAATGTATGTCAAATTATTTTTCCGTGCAAGTTAGTATTAATTAAAAACATCGTAATATTCCAATAAATTTAAATTTATAATTTAACGGTATTTTTCATTTAGTTTTTACTTATTCCTGAAAAATGTGACGTTTGGGCTTATCTATGCATAATATAAGAGTGTATATACGAAAAGGCTTGTGTTTTTTAGTCTGCCGGCCCTAGAATTATTCTCAAAGTTAATTAGACGTAAACATATTAAAAGATGGAAATACGATTAATACTCACTGCAGCATTAACATGTTAACAAACAAATAACTGATAAAGATGTTGACATTCATAACATGTGTTTTCTTAATCCAATGTACTAACTTTGCAAATGTTAGATAATGTAAAACGGTTCATAATTTTAACAAGAAATATATTTAATATACACTTTTTAACAATCAGTAACATACTTAGACCATTCAACCCAAGTAAGAGAATATTTTAAACTTCAGAACTAAATAAAATACAAAATAATATATAATTTCTGAATGAAAAAGTTCGAATCGAGGCACAGTACAACAAGTGGGTGGGAAAGGTATTTTTGTTTTGTTTTTTTTGGGGTGGGGGGCCTTTGGTTCTGGTTTGGGGGGGCCCCGGTGTGCTCGTTGCCCCATTAAAAAAAAGTACTAAGTGCATACATGTCTAAACTATTAGAATTTCATTTTCATTATTTCGTACATATGTATATGCATTATTAAGGCTTAGGATAGCAGTTCCTCATTTCATTTGTAAACGCTAATGAGTCTTTAGTTTTAAATAAATTGCGATTTTATAGTCTTAACAACTACAATAAGTTTGAGCTTGATCCAGTTCAAAGGCAGTACCTATATATCTCTTTAAACTGTGGCTTTATCATATGTCAAAATTCGCGTCCGATCTTATTATGTGTAGTTTATCTGGCACTACAATGTGTACTAATAGTAGCCCTGTGGTCGAAATTCGACCTTAATTTGACGTTGGCCTTTGAGTAACAACATATTTATAATGATTGTATCCTGAGACATCGGCAGTATGAACGTCATCAAACGACTTAAGTCGTATCCGCCATATTTACTCTTTTATCACAGTTATTTTAACATAACGATATAATATTTAGACGTCAGATAGCTTTGTTTTTTCACTTATCGCATTTCTGCGTTCACGGTATTTATTTTATTTTTCTTAACATCAATAATACGTCAACTACAACGTGAACTATACAAAAAAATGCTTCATGTAAACATCAAATTAACATAACATATTATCAACAAAAAATCAAATTACGTCATCAGTTTTTTTTTCTGTGTCATGTCAAATGTTCTTCGTTCTTCTACTGTTTAGGTTAACACATTAATACTTTTCTAAAAGTTATTATTTTACTGATTGTTTTCTATTTAATGGATCCGGTACAAAAATATAATATCTCTACATATAAGTAAAATTAAAGAGTATGTCTGTATATCGAAAAAAAAACTTTATTGAGCTGAGGGCGTTTTTTAAAATTGACCTCTGTGTGCCCGTGATGTACGCGTCAATTTTCTGAATGGCTGAACCATCATGAACAGATAGAGAGAGAGCAATGCCGGAAGTGTTCTCGACTACATTTTTATCCGAAAAACTTGGATAAAATGGAGTCGAATCCGAAATGTTTATAACATAAACGCTCTTTGTCGATTATTTTAAAACGAAATAACGTAACATTATTACATTCTATCGAGGTAATGCCGGGGTGGTTCTCTAGTATAAATACATTCCGTACAAATATACAACCCTAGATGGGTTGTATATTGTTTAATTTAAGTAAGGATATTATTTGCCGTAATGACATATTTGTCTTTGTCGTAGTAAACTCATGACATCTATAAAATTTCTCAAACATACAACAAAACTCACGAAATCACACATTCACAATCACAATTCTCACCATGGATACTTACGTCCTCATCGGTATCAGGTATCACCATTTGCCCGCGAAAGTCTCTGGAGAGGGTTGCGAGCGGCACCTTCTCTTGTTCTAGAGCCATTATTGCAAGAGCGCGGCGCCAGGTTCAGTGTCGGCTGATTTGGCTCTTCGGGCCCTCTGTCTGGATATCTGATAGATTTCCCTGAAGCTGTGGTCTGGTACCGAGCAAAACTGGAACAACGAAAAAGTGCTAATTTAGGCCTGTTGGTATGTAATAGAGATCACCTGTATTAGACCAATAGAACACTGATATACCTAGTTTTTTTATAAATCTCGGGTAATCCAAATAAACCTGGATGATCCACTATTGCGTTAGAAAAAAAAACATTCTCTCCCGGATGAACCCTATGTAGGTACAGTTGGAAAGTAAAACCGTACCGTAATAAAAAAATTCATCAAATTGTGTTGAAGACTGACTATCTTGTCAGGAGGTGTGACGAGCTGGTAAAAGATGATAAAAAATCCATGGATACAGGTTGGTCAGAATCGTGCTCTGTGGCATTCCTTGGGTACATTAATGAAGAAGTATAACTTACTTAAAGTAAAGGATATAATATTAAAGATATTAAAAATTAAAATTGTACTTTAGAACATTTATAGGTCATAAGTCACGACGACGTTCAAAATTTTCTAGTGGAATGTACTAAATATAAAAAGAGACAAATAATACGGCGTCGATAAATATATTTGATCTAAGTCTAGATGTATTTTACTCTATATTAACCGCCCCTATATCGGAGACCGTGTAGTGGCGGTGTAAGAACAGAGGGTAGAGTTTACGTTGTAGAGCCACGCTGCAGTTATATTAGTGGTATAGTTGTAGCACGAATGGCTCGGCTCGACCGAGGATGAACCACGTCTTCACAGAATACCAGCGTCAAATAGTAGCTTAATGCTGCTGTGTTTCGTATGGTGAGTGCAGAGGACCGGATACCCTTTTTACTGATAACGGGGCATTTCATCTAAGTCCTCACGGGTGACAACGCTGCATTTTGATTCGTAATCGAGGATAGATGTAGATGTTTGTAGGCCACAGTCACCACTTACCGTCAGGTGGACTGTGGACTGTGTGCTCGTTTGTCATCTTATCCTATTTAAAAAAAGAGCATTCTATTCTTACACCGCCATCATAAGAGGATATCGTTAGAGGCGACAGAGGCGAAACTGAATTAGGATATGAGCAGCGGCAGCTTCCTAAAAATATCAAAAATTTAAAAAAAACTGCGGTAAACTACCCGCTTGCTAAGCGTGGTCTATGAGCAGAAGTGGTCTTTTAGAGACTGTATTGGAAGTATAGTTAGGTTTACAAAAAGACCTCCTTCGTCACTCTGTTTATGAAAGTCCCTAAATAAAATTATAATTCAAACCTCCGGTCACTGATGGTTGTAAACCATATCTTATTATTGAAATAAACTTAGTATTATTTATAAATAATAACACACAAAATATATACATAATATAAAAAAATATATATACATATAAAAATATACAACAAAATATAATTCAGCTTCAATTTCAAATTTCTTCGCAAATTAAAGAACTGAATGTAGCCTCTCAAACTATTCAAAGTTCATGCCTTTTCCCGGGTCACCGTCTGAGAAATTCGCATAATGCATTATGCTTTGCACCTTGTCGTCCGGAAGACACGATATGACGCATTAAAAGAACATCAGAACATCTAATAATAAACTTGTAATGGTGTGATGTACGTTTTAAGGCCTTTACAAAACAAATATTAGGGACTGGAAGTAGGTAGGTAGGCTCAAACTTTTCAGAACAAACACCTTTTTCGGTTTGTTATGCACCTCGTCGCCGGCCGCACGCTAAACATTAAGTACGAGTAATTAGTGATGGGCCGAATATCGATTTCATCGAATACGAATATTCGGCCGAAATTTCGGTAAAACTTTTACCGAACTGAATATTCAGTCGAATAATATTTATATATATATATTATTCGACAGGATCACCTCAGTACCTAAACCATTTATGTAGAAACTTATTACCGTAAAGCGCCCGGACCCTGCACATCGCTCCCCCGCCACACCCGAAATGTTTTCGCATCATCTTGTACTGAGCAAATTGCCGGCACATGCTTTTGTTTGGACTATTTTTGTGAGAAAAAACAAGTATTTCATTGTGTTATTTATAATATTCTTAATGAAAATTGAGAATTATATGATAAATAATATTACAAAGTAAAGTGAAATGTACTAATGTGATGTAATCTTTCTTCGTTTGATTCCAAAAACATTTTATCAAGCTTTCTATTTAGTTTAATTGGAAGTAAATCTGCAGTGCTCCAAAAATATAACGCTATACAAGTAGATTTAACCCATAAATAAAATATACTTTCAGAAGTAAAATTATAAAAGACGTGGTATTACTTAATTTGTATATTTTAATATAGTAGACCCTTTGAGTACCACTTTAATAAATGTTCGGTGATTTAGCCGAATATTCGGTAAAACTGCCGAATATGCCGAACACCGAACATGAAACGAATATTCAGCCCATCTCTAATGATTATGTCCCGTGTTAGATCCATATTTCTTTTTTTTATTATTATAGAATAAGTGACAATGAGCACGCCTAATGGTAGGTAAGTGGATGCCGTGGCTCATAGACATCTACATCAATCATCGGTTAAGAAAATGCAGACGCGTTGTCACCCTTAAGGAATGGCCTTCTATATGCCTCGTTACCAGTAAAAAAGATCTCCAGATTTCTGCACTCTTCTACAATTTTATGCTGGTATGATGTGCGAGTGTGGTCCTACAAGGCGATCCATTCGTACAACGAAAAATTCCATTTTATCTTAGATTTATAAGTCGTTCAATTTCATTTTAATTCTAAAGTATATCAAAATATTTGAGTATTCTTTTTAATATTTTTAAGCGGCAGTAGCCTAATGGCGCGGGCCGTGAAAACGGAGGTCGTGGGTTGGCGGGAATCAGTGATTCGACTAATATCGTGAACCACTCCTAATACAAGCATTTTAAGCTTACCACGAGTTATAAACGAAAACATTAGTAATTTTAATAACTTTGCTGGTATTTTTTCTTAAAAAAATATTAAAATAACCAGTTACTAGCGCGATGCGATAGCAACAACAAAGCCTGAAGATAACGTTTGCCGTACTACTGTACTTATATGCATAAGTATGTACATCGCGCCTATTTAAAACCAATACACTATGAATTAAGAGAAATAAACAATATTGTTTCGGCTCAGCTGTCATGGAAGCAGCATTCCAAAAAATATAACGTTAAAGATCTTACTTACGTACCTAACTTCCTCGAGTTATGTAGAGTCAAGAGGTGAAATATAATTAAGATTGAAGGACTACAATTACGGACGACAGCGCGTAATGGTGGCGCAACAGTGCAGTAATCACTAACTATTTCGGTATTGAATATACGATTAAAACTAAACATAAACACAGTGTTGCCAGTCTGAAAGTGACGTTAACATATCTGAAAGTTACCGTTTTAAACTGAAAGTTACGAAATGATATTTCTTTTATTTGATCTCGACTGCCTCGTTGTTCCTGTGGTCGTGAGTGCGACCACTGATCATGAGATACCAAGTTCGAATCTGGGGTCAAGCCAAAATAATTTATTGGGTTTTTCTGTCAGGGAATCTCAGTAGCATCTCGGAGTCGGGAACTTGGCGGTAGTTCACCACCATGCCTCATAAAGCACGTAAAGCCGTTTGTCCAACGCCTAATGTATCTCCAGTCAAGTCGGGTTGCCGTCCCATGAGAAGTACTATGAGAGTGAGGAGATAAAGTACACGTGTGTTTGCTCACACACTCGAGCACTATAATCCTGTCCTGCGCTTATGGTAGTCTCCGTCGAGATTGAGGAAACCCAGATTTGGTGATTTTTATGGCCAAATCAACCAAAATTGTAGTATTATGAAGATATTTTTTTTTTCAAAGTTACACAAATGTGCCTTAAATTTTTTCTTATATACATGTGTAGATAGATAAAAAATTACGTAAAATGTGGGAAACGTATTCTTCTGGCAACATTGCATTAGCAATGCTTAGGCTTAGGTCTATTACTCCAAGCGATATTCAGTGCAACGGTAATTAGACTGTTAAGAGTGAAGACAGCCTAATTAGAACGCTTAGTCTGCATTGACAACGCACTCGATTTACAAGGCATAACATGTCGGTTTATTTTTAACTGAGTTCACAAAAGAAGGAAATGTTATATTCACTCGTGTGTTTTTCAAGTGATTATTTTTGAAGTTAAAACTTCTTTAGAATCGTTGTTATTAGATTTATTATACAAACATATACATTTATAGGATTTAGCCGGCGAGGGAAAGAGACAGAATACAGTGTTTCTTATAAAACATATATTTTAATTACGTAAACCCTACAATTTCCTACTCCTGATTATTCTTTCAATTCGTCTCATTCTCTTAAAGCTTAGTTTTCTGAAGGTTTCACTTCTACCGCGAGTGAAATGCAAACATGTTTATTTTTATTAAATAAGCTACAACTTAAGGGTGTTAAAAAAAGTTAAAGTTACAGCTTATATACGCCCTACTGCTGGGGGCAGACTTCCTTTCATTTCTGAGAGGGCTTAAGGGCAAGGAAGTGTCTGGCGCTGCCCCAGTACGTTTTGGCGAACTTCAAATTTCTTTGAAATATTTTTTTCTAATTTCTCAGACATGCAGGTTCCCTCATGACATTTTCCTTCACCGCAAATTACGTCACGGCGGGGATCGAGTCCGGGTTGCTCGCGCCTCGCGCACTGTGAAATTTACAGCAAGCGCTAACCATATAAGCTACCATGGCATTTAAATTTAAATAAAATATTCCAGCCGTGATTGTGGAATAACAGGGGACAAAGTTTTATTGTAACAATTTAGAGAATATTCGAGTTGTAAATTTAGACCTTGTAATAAAGCTTAGTTTATTCCAAAGATAGTAAAAACCGAATTTAAAAATAAAAATAATCCCCACGTAATAGATTCTTAACTTAGGTGTTTAATTATTCGACACAATATGTCTTGCACCAGTTCCATTCCCGCTCGTTTCTTTTT